GTTCCTTCGTTCTTATGTTCTTATGTTCTTATCTGGAGAAGGTTTGGAGGGATCAACGCCCCCGAGGCCCGGTCTGTGACTAGACCTCGTGGTGACTCAGGGCCTGATCAATCAGGCTGCTACAGTTGGCCGCACACAAGCTGATGCACGAACCACAGCGGGCTATGGTTCGTGCATCACACTTACGAAAAGATTGTTAAGATAACGTTTCGGTCCACCCTGTACCATTGTCAAATCACGAATGAGCATTTGACAGTGTATTGAGAAAGGCAAAACTAAGATTCCATAAAAGAATGTTGTGTATATGGACCTTATTTTCAGTGAGTTGCTCCAGTTCCTTGGCTCAAGAGTACTTCCTTAACCCGGAGATAAAAATTGGTTAATAGTCCCGTCGTTTATAACGCTCTATGAACGGCTATAAACAATGCAGCTTCTCCATTTTCTTTTACAAAAGTTTCCTAAGGGGAAACTCGGCCAAACTTGTGGCTAAGCTGGCCACAATGAAGATAGATGAGAGAGGGCGTTGTGATGGCAGTAAAATGTCGTCTTTCATTCCCCGGGGCTCTCCAAGATTGATGATGTAATCTTAAAAACTCTCCAGATGACCACAATAGCTGGAGTTTGCAAGGGGGAGCGCCTGAAAGGATGGAGTTTGTTCACATATTGGTCACAAAAGATGGTGGTGGTGATGGTGATGGTAGTGATTATGGCGAATGGTAGTATTGTGGAAGTGTTTGTGGTGGTAGTAGTAATGGTGGTGACTATGGTAGTTAGTGTGGTGGTGATGGTAGTAATAGTAGTGGTAGTAGCATATTTGAACAGCTTCAGCTGCTACAATTCTGTTTGCAAAAAAAAAAAAAAAAAAAAAATACTCAGATCTTTTATGTTGCATCTTCCTCCTCGAAGTTTCGTTCCAGTTTTTTGAGTTACGGACTCAGTTTCCTAAGAGAGAAGAGAGAAAAAGTTAAGTGCTTTGATCTTTCTTCATAAGGTTTGTTTCTGAGAGATGATACAAGCTTGATTGCTCTTCCCTGCTCACTCTCCAGTGATGGTACAAGCTGGGTAGCTCTTTCTGTACCCTCTCCAGTGATGGTACAAGCTGGGTAGCTCCTTTTTGTACCCTCTCCATTGATGGTACCAGCTGGGTAGCTCCTTTCTGTACCCTCTCCATTGATGGTACAAGCTGGGTAGCTCCTTTCTGTACCCTCTCCATTGATGGTACCAGCTGGGTAGCTCCTTTCTGTACCCTCTCCATTGATGGTACAAGCTGGGTAGCTCCTTTTTGTACCCTCTCCAATGATGGTACAAGCTGGGTAGCTCTTTTCTGTACCCTCTCCAGTAATGGTACAAGCTGGGTAGCTCCTTTCTGTACCCTCTCCAGTGATGGTACAAGCTGGGTAGCTCCTTTCTGTACCCTCTCCAGTGATGGTACAAGCTGTTTAGCTCCTTTCTGTACCCTCTCCAGTGATGGTACCAGCTGGGTAGCTCCTTTCTGTACCCTCTCCAGTGATGGTACAAGTTGGGTAGCTCTTTCTGTACCCTCTCCATTGATGGTACAAGCTGGGTAGCTCCTTTCTGTACCCTCTCCAGTGATGGTACAAACTGGGTAGCTCCTTTTTGTACCCTCTCCATTGATGGTACCAGCTGGGTAGCTCCTTTCTGTACCCTCTCCAGTGATGGTACAAGCTGGGTAGCTCCTTTCTGTACCCTCTCCAGTGGTGGTACAAGCTGGGTAGCTCTTTCTGTACCCTCTCCAGTGATGGTACCAGCTGGGTAGATCCTTTCTGTACCCTCTCCAGTGATGATACAAGCTGGGTAGCTCTTTATGTACCCTCTCCAGTGATGGTACAAGCTGGGTAGCTCCTTTCTGTACCCTCTCCAGTGATGGTACAAACTGGGTAGCTCCTTTTTGTACCCTCTCCATTGATGGTACCAGCTGGGTAGCTCCTTTCTGTACCCTCTCCATTGATGGTACAAGCTGGGTAGCTCCTTTCTGTACCCTCTCCATTGATGGTACAAGCTGGGTAGCTCCTTTCTGTACCCTCTCCAGTGATGGTACAAGCTGGGTAGCTCCTTTCTGTACCCTCTCCAGTGATGGTACCAGCTGGGTAGCTCTGCCATGTACCTCTCCAGTGAATATAGTGTCTTGTACTTGAAGTTTCAAGAGTTTATTCAGGTATACAAAATAACATAGATGATCATGCATACCAGCATATCAGTAACAACACTGCCACTAGCCAAGGATTCGAAACCATGGGATCGAATCCTTGGCTAGTCGCAGTGTTGTTATTGATCAATACCACTCGTTCGTGGCTACAATAATACCAGCATGTGTGTGTAGGAACCTAAGACAACTCAAAATGCTGAAATTGTTGCAGACTTTCTATCAGTGGTGGATTTACTATAAAAGTAATGAAGCTTGAGGGCCCCTAATCCCTGAGGGGGCCCAGAATCCAGATTTTGGTTCAATACAAAACTGCATTATGCATGTATATAACATTTCCCTAAGGTTTTATCCCCCATAACTCGAAAACTTTAAGGCATGGAGAATTTTTTTCACATCAGTGACTTTGACAAGAGAGATAATCCTCTACAACAACTTTAATAAAGATCTGTGATGATCTGTGGTGGAACACAGTGGTTACCCAGACCTTGTGCCGGTTGCGAGGGGGCCCCCATAACAGTTCAAGCGTCAGGGCCCCAAAAATGTAGTTGCTTTCTATATAAGTTTAGTCTGGAGTATACCTGGTGTGGGTTTCGGTAGTCAACGCCCCTGCAGCCCGATCTGTGATCAGGCCTCGCGGGGGATCAGGGCCTGATCAACCAGGTTATTACTAACCACACACACAAACCGACGTACGAACCACAGCCCGGCTGCCCAGCTCCTTCTTGCAGACAGCCAGAGGTCTATTAGTAATCCCCCTTATGTATGGTGGTAGGGAGTTGAACTTAGGAATTTAATGATTTGTTGTTGCGAGAAGAGTAGGCAATCTGTTAAATTTTTTCTAACAGGCTGAAAAACGTGTATGTTAAAAAATGTACAAATTAAATGAAGGATAAATTACGGAATAGCTGCGATATGGGTCACCATAAAACATTCCAGTTGGCAATTTATCGTTCAAGGTTTTTATTTTTGGTCGTTAAAACAATTTTAAAAAATCCGAAAATACCAGAATAAAGCCTGGTCATAAATTTTCTTTAAATAAAAAAAATATATATGAACAATAGCAATAATCTATTAACATTATGTTGTAGAACCAACAATTATCTACAACATTTTGACAGTTCAGGTTGATAGCTCCATAAATAACGTCTAACCTCGACTGACAGTGTTTAAAACAAGAGCTATATATCCCACACCTTTACGCAGCAGGGCTCAGACGCCCACTGAACATGACTCATTGTTGTGACTGAGAGAACAGACACCAAAGTTGCCAGCATGTAAAATTCACTACATATTAATTTACATAAAAAAACATAATTACATACAACACATATTACCTACATACGTTCCTTCACATACTTTCATTGATCATCTCATAATTCTAAATTCACATTTAGCTGAATGACATTTAGAAGAGTTAGAATTATAAATAATTCCAAGACTCGAATGTTGCTCATACATAAGAGAAATTTATTAGGCTATTTTGCGACTTCTTTTGAAAATATTTAGGTGACAATTTCAAAGGATAGCTATTGCCTCTTAGAGCTAAAACCTTTAACTCTGTGATTGAAATTCATTGATTAAAGTCATTATTTTTCGACAATTAAACCTGACATATTTAATTTCTCTTTATATTGACCTTTAAACTGTTGCTGACCGATGTTCATGTATTTTTTTATACTGGTGTTATGGTTTACGAAGTGTTATGTGGTGTTGTGTTACGTGGTGTTATTGTGTTATGTGGTGTTGTGTGTTATGTGGTGTTATTGTGTTATGTGGTGTTGTGTTATGTGGTGTTATTGTGTTATGTGGTGTTATTGTGCGTTATGTGGTGTTATTGTGTTATGTGGTGTTATTGTGTTATGTGGTGTTGTGTTATGTGGTGTTATTGTGTTATGTGGTGTTATTGTGTATTATGTGGTGTTATTGTGTTATGTGGTGTTATTGTGTGTTACGTGGTGTTATTGTGTATTATGTGGTGTTATTGTGTTATGTGGTGTTATTGTGTTACGTGGTGTTATTGTGTTATGTGGTGTTATTGTGTGTTATGTGGTGTTGTGTTATGTGGTGTTATTGTGTTATGTGGTGTTATTGTGTGTTATGTGGTGTTGTGTTATGTGGTGTTATTGTGTTATGTGGTGTTATTGTGTTATGTGGTGTTATTGTGTGTTACATGGTGTTATTGTGCGTTACGTGGTATTGTGTGTTACATGGTGTTATTGTATGTTATGTGGTGTTATTGTGTGTTATGTGGTGTTATTGTGTGTTATGTGGTGTTATTGTGTGTTACATGGTGTTATTGTGCGTTACGTGGTGTTATTGTGTTATGTGGTGTTATTGTGTGTTACGTGGTGTTATTGTGTGTTATGTGGTGTTATTGTGTGTTATGTAGTGTTTCTGCGTGTTATGCGGTATTATGATATGGGTATTATTGTGTTATGTATTATTAAGTTTTACGTAGTATTATGGTTATATTGTGTTATTGTGTTACTGCGTGTTATGAGGCGTGTGTTATATATTATTGTGTTACATAAGGTGAAGAACAGGTTCTGTTCTCTTGTGAACCCACCAAGAACCTCAAGACGACGTTCCTGTTCGTCTTGGACATGACAATGATGAAGTAAGAAGTAAAATGTAGTCATAAGGGTATTCTATTAATTGGGTGTTTTTTTTTTTTTGGGGGGGGGGAGATTGTTAAAGTCACGGTACTGTGACTCTGTGTCCATTTATTGACGACTATTGCAGAAATTTCACGTGTGATTTTTAGCTGCAAAATGGCCTCAGAAGATTTCAGTATTGGTGTGTTTGTGTATTTACACTGAGGGTTGTGTTGCAGGGGCTGTATACAAGACACTTGAGAACTGTGGTGGCGAGTCTGGTGCTGGCTACACTGCTCACCCTCCTGCTCTATACTACACCCAACACCACCAACTTCATCCTCTCGTCCACCTCCAACAGTCTCAGGTGAGTGTCACACGCACTTTACACCCTCAGCAACATCCACATCACCACACACCAACATTCACTACTACTACACTCACAACCAACACTCACTACCTCCACACTCACAATCAACACTCACTACCACCACACCCACAACCAACACTCACTACCACCACACCCACAACCAACACTCACTACCACCACACCCACAACCAACACTCATTACCTTCACACCACAACCAACACTCATTACCTTCACACCACAACCAACACTCACTACCACCACACCCACAATCAACACTCGCTACCACCACACCCACAACCAACACTCACTACCACCACACCCACAACCAACACTCACTACCTTCACACCCACAACCAACACTCACTACCACCACACCCACAACCAACACTCACTACCACCACACCCACAACCAACACTCACTACCACCACACCCACAACCAACACTCACTACCACCACACCCACAACCAACACTCACTACCACCTCACCCACAACCAACACTCACTACCACCACACCCACGACCAAACCCCCACAAGTAGCATTTAATCCCTCACAGCTAAGATATAAATAATCATAGCTGGTAAAGCGCTTAACTTGAGACGACAACTCAGCAAAGCATTTCTCGCCTCCTCTCTACCAGGATTTACAAACTGTCTGTTAATTAAGGTAAAGTGTTACACTAATGATATAGAATAACTGTATTTCAACATTGCTAAAACCCATGCAACTGTCACTTGTTAAGCTGAACTCAACTTAGGTAAGCTTTGATTAACACGACTTGTGTCTCGGTGAGAGCTTTATTAAGTTAGCTAACTCAGTGTGAACTTTATCAAGTTAGTTTTATCATGTAACTTGATAAAGTTCTTACTACGTGAAATGTTGTAATAAAACCCTCTCTACGTGTCTTTCATTTACTTATCTTTGATTATATATAATATATATATATATATATATATATATATATATATATATATATATATATATATATATATATATTTATTTATTTATTTATTTATTTAAAAATTTGAGCACACTTACAGAGGTACAACAAATACAGGTAAGAGCAGTATGCCAAAGCCACTTATACTATGCATAGCATTACGGGCTGGCTTAAAATTAACTTAAGATTAACTAAGCAATGATGAAATCAGTGATAAAACATTAATGCCAATGTGTATATTTCCTATCAACATGTCATAAAAACTGTTTTTCTTTAGATTCTTATCATTACATTCGTAGGGAAGCGCTAAACCAGTAGGAGTCATACAATGCCTATGGATTTCAAGTTAATCAGGTGCTAACCATTTTCTTTCCTCAAGAGGTCCTCAGCAGCATCAAAGCTACTGCCTCTCGTGAAGAGCTGCAGCTTCAATAAGCTTTCCAAGGGGAAAAAGGCTTATCGTGGTGTCAGAGTTCAACAGAATACCCCATGGAGTTGCAGCCTGGCTGTGCTCACTCGGGAGTTCTGTCGCGGTTCTGGTGACACTCTCGGGTAGTATGTCCACCTGTAAGAACTAGACAATAATCTGCTAGTTTTTCACTTTCGAGGATTCCAACTGAGGTCCTTAAAAATAATAGTCAGTCATCTCACATCGAAACTCTTGTGGATTGTGAGAAACGTCTGTTAGGTTTCCGTGGTTCCCTGTCAGAGTACGGGTGATAGGTGGCCCCTTAAGAGAGCTGCTTCTCACGCGTGAGCTAAAACCCACAATACTTCCTTAAAAAAAAACGTTTATGAGAGGGAATCAAGCACAGTGTCGCTAGTTACATAGATTTTCACTACAACAGAACGTTTAACAGGTGCAGACTAGTCACGAGGGAGCATTCTCCAAATTCAACTTCAATAACAAAAACATAAAGTGGGACGAAGTAAACCAAGTCCTAACCGATATAAGCTGGGAAGATATACTAAGCAACACAGACCCAAACTTATGCCTAGAACAGATTAACTCGGTGGCACTCGATGTATGCACAAGGCTTATTCCTCTAAGAAAAAGGAGGAGTAGATGTAAAATAGAAAGAGACAGGCGCTCCCTTTACAGGCGACGGAAAAGAATAACAGAGCGGCTAAAAGAGGTCAATATATCTGAAATGCGCAGGGAGACACTGGTCAGAGAAATAGCAAGCATCGAACTTAAGCTAAAAGAATCCTTTAGGAGTCAGGAATCGCGGGAAGAACTAAAAGCTATAAATGAAATCGAAAGAAACCCAAAGTATTTCTTCTCCTATGCCAAATCAAAATCGAGAACAACGCCCAGTATTGGGCCCCTACTTAAACAAGATGGGTCCTACACAGATGACAGCAAGGAAATGAGTGAGCTACTCAAGTCCCAATATGACTCAGTTTTTAGCAAGCCGCTAACCAGACTGAGAGTCGAAGATCAAAATGAATTTTTTATGAGAGAGCCACAAAATTTGATTAACACAAGCCTATCCGATGTTATCCTGACGCCAAATGACTTCGAACAGGCGATAAATGACATGCCCATTCACTCTGCCCCAGGGCCAGACTCATGGAACTCTGTGTTCATCGAGAACTGCAAGAAGCCCCTATCACGAGCCTTTTCCATCCTATGGAGAGGGAGCATGGACACGGGGGTCGTCCCTCAGTTACTAAAAAAAACAGACATAGCCCCACTCCACAAAGGGGGCAGTAAAGCAACAGCAAAGAACTACAGACCAATAGCACTAACATCCCATATCATAAAAATCTTTGAAAGGGTCCTAAGAAGCAAGATCACAACCCATCTAGAAACCCATCAGTTACACAACCCAGGGCAACATGGGTTTAGAACAGGTCGCTCCTGTCTGTCTCAGCTACTGGATCACTACGACAAGGTCCTAAATGCACTAGAAGACAAAAAGAATGCAGATGTAATATATACAGACTTTGCAAAAGCCTTCGACAAGTGTGACCATGGCGTAATAGCGCACAAAATGCGCGCTAAAGGAATAACAGGAAAAGTCGGTCGATGGATCTATAATTTCCTCACTAACAGAACACAGAGAGTAGTCGTCAACAGAGTAAAGTCCGAGGCAGCTACGGTGAAAAGCTCTGTTCCACAAGGCACAGTACTAGCTCCCATCTTGTTCCTCATCCTCATATCCGACATAGACAAGGATGTCAGCCACAGCACCGTGTCTTCCTTTGCAGATGACACCCGAATCTGCATGACAGTGTCTTCCATTGCAGACACTGCAAGGCTCCAGGCGGACATCAACCAAATCTTTCAGTGGGCTGCAGAAAACAATATGAAGTTCAACGATGAGAAATTTCAATTACTCAGATATGGTAAACATGAGGAAATTAAATCTTCATCAGAGTACAAAACAAATTCTGGCCACGAAATAGAGCGAAACACCAACGTCAAAGACCTGGGAGTGATTATGTCGGAGGATCTCACCTTCAAGGACCATAACATTGTATCAATCGCATCTGCTAGAAAAATGACAGGATGGATAATGAGAACCTTCAAAACTAGGGAGGCCAAGCCCATGATGACACTCTTCAGGTCACTTGTTCTATCTAGGCTGGAATATTGCTGCACTCTAACAGCACCTTTCAAGGCAGGTGAAATTGCCGACCTAGAAAATGTACAGAGAACTTTCACGGCGCGCATAACGGAGATAAAACACCTCAATTACTGGGAGCGCTTGAGGTTTCTAAACCTGTATTCCCTGGAACGCAGGAGGGAGAGATACATGATTATATACACCTGGAAAATCCTAGAGGGACTAGTACCGAACTTGCACACGAAAATCACTCACTACGAAAGCAAAAGACTTAGCAGACGATGCACCATCCCCCCAATGAAAAGCAGGGGTGTCACTAGCACGTTAAGAGACCATACAATAAGTGTCAGGGGCCCGAGACTGTTCAACTGCCTCCCAGCACACATAAGGGGGATTACCAACAGACCCCTGGCAGTCTTCAAGCTGGCACTGGACAAGCACCTAAAGTCAGTTCCTGATCAGCCGGGCTGTGGCTCGTACGTTGGTTTGCGTGCAGCCAGCAGCAACAGCCTGGTTGATCAGGCGCTGATCCACCAGGAGGCCTGGTCACAGACCGGGCCGCGGGGGCGTTGACCCCCGAAACTCTCTCCAGGTAAACTCCAGGTAAACACTACGCCAGGAGAGGATACCTATACGCTTTCCCTGGCAAGGGGTTCCCAAGTGAGCCCAAGGGGAATTACAATATGGGATAGGCTGTACCGAGAGATGGCAGTTCCTAGGTGATAGTAACTCCAGCTATTCAGGAACGAAAGCTTGGAAGCTTCTGTAGCTGAAGAATCCTTTCTGGAATACTTACCTGGAGGAGGGTGTATATCTGGAGGGTGTTTCAGGGGTCAACGCCCCCGCTGCCCGGTCGATCAGGCCTCACGGTGGATCAGGGCCTGATCAACTAAGTTGTTAATGCCGGCCGCACGCAGTGTCTTACTGAAGTCTCCCAGCCCAGGCTGAGTGCGACACCTAGTACGAGACTCGTCATTCTTGATGGAATAAGACAGAAAAAAGAAATACAGCCTTTGTTACCACTACGTAGTAAGTATCGTATAGAATAGTGCAGCAGCACACTGAGGATGTGTCATATTTTGCTAATTAAAAAAACGAAAACAGTGGATTACAAGCGGAATTAAAAGGCCGAGTGAACTACCAGTGACGAATTAGATAACCTTTTACCCTCCATTATCCTGGAAGCATTTTTTCCAAAAAATGGTAAGTCCAGCTAGAATGAAACCTTTGAAGCTGCTGTAGATTCTAAATTAATAGTGGACAATAGAACACTTGACAATAGAACACTTGACAATAGAACACTTGCTATACCGAAGTCTACCAGCTGAACCTGACAGATTCCATCACTTGGTATACGAAATTCATCCTTTGTGATGGAATATGACAGGAAAACCCATCCTGTTTGATGGAATATGACAGGAAAACCCATTCTGTGTGATGGAATATGACAGGGAAAACCCATCCTGTGTGATGGAATATGACAGGAAAAACCCATCCTGTGTGATGGAATATGACAGGAAAAACCCATCCTGTGTGATGGAATATGACAGGGAAAACCCATCCTGTGTGATGGAATATGACAGGAAAACCCCATTCTGTGTGATGGAATATGACAGGAAAAACCCATCCTGTGTGATGGAATATGACAGGAAAACCCATCCTGTGTGATGGAATATGACAGGAAAACTCATTCTGTGTGATGGAATATGACAAGAAAAACCCATCCTGTGTGATGGAATATGACAGGGAAAGCCCATCCTGTGTGATGGAATATGACAGGAAAACCCATTCTGTGTGATGGAATATGACAGGGAAAACCCATCCTGTGTGATGGAATATGACAGGAAAACCCATTCTGTGTGATGGAATATGACAGGGAAAACCCATCCTGTGTGATGGAATATGACAGGGAAAACTCATCCTGTGTGATGGAATATGACAAGAAAAACCCATCCTGTGTGATGGAATATGACAGGGAAAACTCATCCTGTGTGATGGAATATGACAGGGAAAGCCCATCCTGTGTGATGGAATATGACAGGGAAAACCCATCCTGTGTGATGGAATATGACAGGGAAAGCCCATCCTGTGTGATGGAATATGACAGGGAAAACCCATCCTGTGTGATGGAATATGACAGGGAAAGCCCATCCTGTGTGATGGAATATGACAGGAAAACCCATCCTGTGTGATGGAATATGACAGGGAAAACCCATCCTGTGTGATGGAATATGACAGGGAAAACTCATCCTGTGTGATGGAATATGACAAGAAAAACCCATCCTGTGTGATGGAATATGACAGGGAAAACTCATCCTGTGTGATGGAATATGACAAGAAAAACCCATCCTGTGTGATGGAATATGACAGGAAAAACCCATCCTGTGTGATGGAATATGACAGGGAAAACCCATCCTGTGTGATGGAATATGACAGGAAACCCCATTCTGTGTGATGGAATATGACAGGAAAAACGCATCCTGTGTGATGGAATATGACAGGAAACATTTATCGTAAGGGTTCTTAAATGGAGATATCGTAGGTTGAAGGTAGACACACTTGTTGGATGGTAACTTATATTGTCAGACTGAGAGGATGAGGGATGGAGCCCGCTGCCTTGCCTGTCTGCTGAATGGTCTGCCGCCGAGTGAGAGCGGGGCAGAGGTATGAGCCTACACATGTGCATCCTGTGACGTCACACAAAGCCACAGGCCTACAAGGGATCTCGTATCTAAAGCACATGGATGATACTAATATGCTATGCTGTATAATACAGGGAATACAGGGATCAGCAACTATGCTGACAGAAAAACCCATCCTGTGTGATGGAATATGACAGGGAAAACCCATCCTGTGTGATGGAATATGACAGGGAAAACCCATCCTGTGTGATGGAATATGACAGGAAAACCCATTCTGTGTGATGGAATATGACAGGGAAAACCCATCCTGTGTGATGGAATATGACAGGGAAAGCCCATCCTGTGTGATGGAATATGACAGGAAAACCCATTCTTTTGTGATGGAATATGACAGGGAAAACCCATCCTGTGTGATGGAATATGACGGGAAAAAACCCATCCTGTGTGATGGAATATGACAGAAAAACCCATCCTGTGTGATGGAATATGACAGGAAAAAACCCATCCTGTGTGATGGAATATGCCCGGGGGAAAACCCATCCTGTGTGTGGAATATGACAGGAAAACCCATCCTGTGGGGATGGAATAGGGACGGGGAAAAACCCCATCCTGTGTGATGGAATATGACAGGAAAAACCCATCCTGTGTGATGGAATATGACAGGAAAAACCCATCCTGTGTGATGGAATATGACAGGGAAAACCCATCCTGTGTGATGGAATATGACAGGAAAAACCCATCCTGTGTGATGGAATACATCAAGAGAAACATAGGTAGTTCTCGCTTCCACTCTGTAACCACTGCATAAAACACCATACTAGCATTACAAACCTGGCATACCCAGTTTTATCTATTAAAAAAAGTATTTCAACATTTTCTAGCATCAACTCATATCAAGGGAGGAGCCTTGATGCTAGCGAAGGGCTCTTGATCCAGAGAAGTGAGCCTACCCTTCGTTTCCTTAGGTCAAACCTAATTACCTCTTTATCAGGATGCTGTATGACCCTTAGATTTATCTCTTCCCCATGAATAATAATTAATAAGCAATCACAATGATAATTCTGACGTCTACAGTGGGAGTGTGTTGGGGGTGGAGGAAGAGGTCCAGTGTTTACCACATCACCACATTATGTTTCTGAAGACTCACAAGTGCGCCTCCACCACCGTCCAGGTTTGTAGATACCTTGTTTTAAAGCTTTCTGGGGGTTTCCTCTATACGTGTTTCCTCTATACGTGTCCCTGAGGGGACACGTATTCTAAAACCGCAGTCGTTCTCTTCTTCAGGTTTCTTGGTACACTTCAGTTTACTGTTGAATTTGCAGACTAGTAATGACTCGTGAGCGACTTTTATTACGTTTTATTACGAGTCATTTCGCCCTCTTGAGTGTTTTATTAATCCAGTAACAATGTATTAATTGTTGACTCCGTGTCTTTATTTCGCAGGCTTCCAATTGTTATCCTGCCTAACTTGTTTCAAAGTTCAGCTTTATCTAAGGTATACTACGATCCCCTTACCCCAAGATGCCGCAAACAACTGCTGATTAGCACCCACCTACCTACTGACTGCTACATGACCAGGGGCAGCAAGTATAAAGAAACTTAACACACAGGTAGCCATTGACTTCTAAGTGAACAAGGGTAGCAGACGTAAGGAAACTAATAGCTGGGTATCTACTTACTGCTAAGTGAACATGGGCAGTAGGTATAAGGAAACTAACACACTGACTTCTAGGTAGCCAGAGGCAACAGGTGTCAACAAACTCACCCACTTGCCATATGTCTTAAGTTCCTCCATTTAGTACAGCTAATGGGTATGCGATAAATTATTACTGACATTAAGGGTATCAAGGAGTGATTAAATAATTAAGATAATCACGAAGCAAGGTGTATTAATAATATCCGCTGAAATATTTAATACATTTTAAATCTTTAAGAATATTATCTGCTATTGCATTCTTATAAATATTTTGGTAACACGTATAGGACAATATTTGCATGATATAACATTATTCGTACCTTAATGGTACGTATAGTTTACCTTCGGATACAGATAAATTACCCTTAGGTAGGGTCCCTAATTCCCGAGGGCCCCCGGAAGCGTCTTTAGTCCACATCGCTTTAAAAAAAATTGGAGTCTACTGCATGGGAAGGATTTTTTAAATAATAATATATCGTAATTCAGTATAAGAGCTAAAAATAAAAATTAAAAGATTATCATGTAGACTAGCCGTTGCTAGTTGCGAAGGGGCCCCCATAACAGTTCAAGCTTCAGGACCCCAAAAATGTAGGTCCGCCACTACCCTCTGGCCCAGTTATATATATAATATATATATAATATAATTTATTTATATTTATATGGCGTATTATCACCCAAAGCACGTAAATTTGTGCTATTAATTAGAAGAGATTTAGACAGTAATGTCCCAGATTAGAGATAATTAAAAGTCGCTCTAATTCACAGCTATCACAGAGAGTCATTAACTTCCATCACTGGTTGACGGCAGTCACAACACAGATGTGTGAGCAGACACACGTATGCTGAACACGCTTTTATCGGGATGATATTTCGCTGTGTCCAGCTTCATCAAGTATCGCTCTGGGTAGAGCTTTATTAGGTATCACTCTAGGTAGAGCTTTATTAGGTTTTTGTTCTGTCTTTTATTACATAAAGAACGCTCTCAGTCTCGTAAATACACACACACACACACACACACACCAGTGAAGAGGCGGGGCCAGGAGCTGTGAATCGACCCCTTCAATCACAAATGGGAGAGTACAAATATGTGAGTATACATACAAATGGTCTAGATTTATATAATCTCTATCTAGCACCTATAACCTCTCTAACAGCACATAACTTAGATTATCTATCCTCAGAGCTTTAGATTTTCTTATCCTCAGATAGGTAAATCTAAGCATATATTCAACTTTTATTCGCATTGCATATATTTCACGAAGCGCTAAATCCGTGTATTTGTGGTGGGTACGAATCTTTTATCGTAAAGAGTGTTGGAGGCTCGATCCTCCGTCCCTAATCGTCCCTTTTTGTTTACAGAACATCTTCCTGCGGTACGGCTACACACACAACTTGACCTTTGCGCTGCCCTCAGCAGGGAATTATCTGGGTAACCCGGGTTTCTTCAAGGTCAGTTGCTACGACCCATGATGCTTCTTTCTCGTCTATTGTAATGTGGTGTGTGTGTGTTACTGCTTCTGGAGAAGGCTCTTCATTCAGGGAATCTGAGTTGCTCTCTATTTCCTTAGATCGAATCTGATTGCATGATGATAATATTAATAATGACACTAGTAATAATAACAATAATAAAAGTTACTGCTGTGTGGGTCATTATGTGGCTAAGACCCACGTCAGGAAACACTTGTTTCCCGACAGACATTAAGCCTAGAAGTTATTAAATAAACATTCCACTTTTTCAGGCCAGTATGATACCAAGAGACTTGATGCCGTTCAAGGAGAAAGTGGATATATTCGCCCTACACACGCGCCTCAACCCGCCCGAGCACGCCCATGTCCTTCACAACGACACTAGATGGATCACCATCATAAGAGATCCATCGGCGCTCTATGAGAGCTTGTACAATTTTTTCCACATGAACCTTGGCTACGGCTTCGAGCTCTCGGAGTTCAGCACGAGACCTATGTCGGTAAGTTGGAGTCAGTGGAAAAAAATAAGAGATAAATGCTTTACTGGCTACGTTTCGCCCAAACAGTGGGCTTTATCAAGTCACAAATAGATCTACCCGAGCAGAGAGTACAGGAAAATAATTGATGGTTGCTTCCGTGCCTGTCTTCAGTGCTGATGGAGAGACGTTCCCAGCACTGCTGAAGGTTAGTTGTTACTTGCAGCTGGCAAGCCCAAAGGGTAATGTTAGGTTCATCTGTTTTACTGTTGGTATATCATGCACAAACTATTGTTACTGCTCGGCTACTGAGTGATGCAACAGCATCTCTACCTCTGCTCTCATGGATGAAGAGAATGATGAGAGCGAACAGCTATAATAAGTCCTTTAAACTACACTTCATCTGGCTATAGTAAACGAGTATAATCCCACTTCCTGTCTGAGTTTCATATTCATCCAAAACTACGGTATTGAACATGTTAGGCTGAGGGACTGATTACCTCAGCTTCAGCATCTACAATCTTCTGGTTTTGTTCCGTTACTGTAATGGTAAAGTCACTGGTTGGCGAGACGTCTACATATAAAGATACCTAGTTGTTGCACATGTGTCTAATTCTTCAACCTGTCGATATTATATACGATTGATATTATAATGTTAGACTGTTGAAAGTGACTACTGTCCAGTGCTTAATGTATATCACCCAAGTCTCTATTAATTATTCTAGTAAAATTAGATACATCACCATGCTGCTATCTCCTGTACGATACTTACACAGTGGGAACAAAAACTATCGTTTGTCCTGTCATATTCCATCACCTGGGATGGGGTTCATCCACAGTGCTGAAATGTGTCATCTAGAACTGAGAGAATTCAGTCAGGCAGTGAGGATGGCTCGCCTCTTCCTCGTATCAGCCCGTGAGGACATTACTTTGAAGCTTTCTTTTGTGGTATATTATCTTTTAATCTACGTACCATGGCATATCTTCGTGTTTTTACTGTCTTATCAACTTTTTTTTATGGTGCACAAACTTCAGAGTTTTAGCTTTTTCTTTCCTGTACATTTGATTGTGTGTAAATACCTTTGTTTATTTACATTAGCATAACTTATTTCCTTATTTACAGTAGCATATTTTCAATTATTTTATCACCCATTACCTCGTCTTTCTATTTATTCATTCAATTTATCTTTCCAGCACTGTGAATAAACGATTCTTGTGTTTATTCAATGGATTAATCGTTGTATTTTATTTACTCGCAGGAGCTGGCATCACTCCCAAGATATGGCGGAAAATTTGGGAAGAACCAGATGCTCTTTGACTTCGGATATCCAGATGATATGTCTGTGAGCGAGCTGAGACGCGCTATTGAGGAACTGGAGAAACTTTTCGACTTGGTGATGATTTCTGAGCATATGGATGAATCTCTCGTATTGATGCGTCACCTCTTGTGTTGGTCTCTACACGACGTTGTAGTCTTTGCAAAAAACGCTCGTCGACAGGAAGTTAAGCCGACTTTGAGCCCTGAAATGCAACAAGCACTTCGGGAACTAAACAGCGCTGATGTACTGTTGTATAATCATTTTCTTGCGCGGCACCGACATGCAGTTTTTGAGTTCGGTGTTCAACGGATGGCTGACGAAGTAGCGGCTCTGCGAAGCCTCCGTGATGAATATTATGAAGACTGTGGTGCTAGAGAAGTCAAGGGACGAGATTCTTCACTCAGGTTTAAAGAGTACTCAGGGTTAGTCAGTGCTTATGTGACATCAAATAATTCTGATCAGAACTGCATAATGCTCTCGTTACCTGAGCTGCCACTAGTGGACACTGTCAGACGCCACCAGGAAACGTTGCTTAATGTAGACGAATTGTCCTAGTACCACGTTATATTTTAATATAATGTTAAACTCATTCCATTTTTTATAAAAATATATATGTTTAGGACACGTTTAAAACTTGTTGATTGTTATATGTCAACATACAAAAGATCTTCCTCTATCACTCAGAAATATTTTTTGGGAAAATAGACATAACGAAACTGAATCCTATTCCTACTGAGAAAGGATGCCACAGATGGGATGGAAACAGTTTTCGTCTGTTGATTTAAAAAATAAAAAGGTTTTCTAAGCGATTAACAAGTGTAACATTACACTCGTATACATATATATATATATTTTTAACTTTCCTCTATTCCTTCATGCACGCGGCTTCCAGTTCTGCATATCACAAGTGATCTATTTTTGTAATGATTTTTTGGGTGATGTTAAACTGTTGAAAGTGACCACTGTCCTGTGTGTGACCTATAGCACCCAAGTGCCTTTTAATCATTCTACTCGATTAGGCTTTCAGAGTGTCATAGATCTAGCAGTTGTTTCATGAAAGGTGGACATTGTCCACTTCAGATATTATCGTTAAGTTTGAACTAACCCGGACACAAGTATCTTCGAGTATCATGCCTGTGTTTCGTTTATATATTGAAATTAAGATAATGTAGTGATACTGTGATAAAGAATAAATATTTATCTATCTTCCTTCGACAGGTTTATTCCGCATCTTAGTCGCCATGTTTCCACAGTTATTAAGGATCGATCTAATGAAAAAAAAAACTGAATAAGATAAAAACTTAATTTAAAAATAGAGCAATAAACCTCACTTTTGAAATTAAACCAGCCAAACAAAAACTGTAGTTTCCAGCGCTGTTGAAAAACTAAAACAGCTGCATAAAACCCACAAGATATCTTCATTATTTTTCCGTTTGAGTATAGAAACTAAAAAAAAAAATATACAATTTAAAGTTGACCATGAATACAGGTGTTGCGTTGAGTGACATATAGTAAACATCTGTTCTCTGACCCTCATATTGAATTCCAGTGAGGGAAAAGTCTGGGATTTTTTTTTTATGAATCTGAAAATATATACATCAAAAAAAGTACAAATTTGAACACTTTGGCGATTGGTGTTCAAATTTGTACTGTGGTGTTCCATCTCCACTTGTTCTAAACCTTGGCCCCTCGGTTTACCTGTAGACAATTCTGTGCCCAGGGCCCCGGTCCCAGACCAGGGCCAACCCTGGCTGATGTCCTGATCAGTGAGGCTGTTGGCGCTGATTGCACTCAGGCCAGCATACCCACCACAGCCTGGCTGATCAAGATCTAATTTAAAAAAACATACAAAGCTCCCTCTTGAACTTTATAATACGTACACTATGTAAAATATATAAAAGGAAGGTATTGGAAGACCAGTACCTTATTTCCAAGGATTTTTAATTTACATTTAAATTTCACAATTGACCACCACAGAAGAAGTTTTGGAAGATATGTAAAATAATATGAAAGTGTTATTAATTAAACCAAATTTATTTTTTATTTGTTATAGTTTCTTTATTTCAACATTGCCAAGTTGTCTTTATAAGTTGTTTTTGCGACAGTCTGCCAAGAAAGTTTACAACTTGCACCGAGTAATTTAGTGGTTAAAATAGGTTTTGTTATTGACAGTGGTTCGTACGTTGGATTACGTGCGGCCAGCAGTAACAGCCTGGTTGATTAGGCCCAGATCCACCATGAGGCCTGGTCACAGACCGGGTGCGGGGGCGTTGACCCCCGGAACTCTCTCCAGGTATACTCCAGGGATTTAATATGTTATGGCTGTTAAAAGGTACTAAGAGGAACGCGTGTTAAGGTACTGGTTACCTACCCTTGAGGGTGTTAAGGTACTGGTTACCTACCCTTGAGGGTGTTAAGGTACTGGTTACCTACCCTTGAGGGTGTTAAGGTACTGGTTACCTACCCTTGAGGGTGTTAAGGTACTGGTTACCTACCCTTGAGGGTGTTAAGGTACTGGTTACCTACCCTCGAGGGTGTTAAGGTACTGGTTACCTACCCTCGAGGGTGTTAAGGTACTGGTTACCTACCCTTGAGGGTGTTAAGGTACTGGTTACCTACCCTTGAGGGTGTTAAGGTACTGGTTACCTATCCTTGAGGGTGTTAAGGTACTGGTTACCTATCCTTGAGGGTGTTAAGGTACTGGTTACCTACCCTTGAGGGTGTTAAGGTACTGGTTACCTACCCTTGAGGGTGTTAAGGTACTGGTTACCTACCCTTGAGGGTGTTAAGGTACTGGTTACCTATCCTTGAGGGTGTTAAGGTACTGGTTACCTATCCTTGAGGGTGTTAAGGTACTGGTTACCTACCCTTGAGGGTGTTAAGGTACTGGTTACCTATCCTTGAAGGTGTTAAGGTACTGGTTACCTACCCTTGAGGGTGTTAAGGTACTGGTTACCTATCCTTGAGGGTGTTAAGGTACTGGTTACCTACCCTTGAGGGTGTTAAGGTACTGGTTACCTACCCTTAAGGGTGTTAAGGTACTGGTTACCTACCCTTGAAAGTGTTAAGGTACTGGTTACCTACCCTCGAAGGTATTAAGGTACCAGTTACCTACCCTCGAAGGTATTAAGGTACCAGTTACCTACCCTCGAAGGTATTAAGGTACCAGTTACCTACCCTCGAAGGTATTAAGGTACCAGTTACCTACACTCGAAGGTATTAAGGTACCAGTTACCTACCCTCGAAGGTATTAAGGTACCAGTTACCTACCCTCAAGGGAGGTACCTATAATCTTTCTAATTACTGAGTATTTTATACAGTAACTCGATTTGACTTTAACGCTACAACATTTAAAGTCTCATTAACCTCTACATAATCAATAGAGGCAAAATGCTCAGGAAAAAAAAAATGCCAGAAAAAATTTTTCTAAGAGGCCTATCAATACATAATATTTACGCAAAACAGAGTCAAAATTTCAAATCAATTCCATTGCTTTTTTTAACGCCTTGATAAGGCGCGTCGAGTCTATTGAAATGGACACCAAAAAAGAATTAGAAAATAGTCCAAAAGTATATTTTTATGTTTTTGATCATTTTTAAAACGCTAATGGAACTTGAAGTTTATATAAAAAAAAGGTATTTTACCGAATAGGTAAAAATATCTGACTTCAGTTTTTAATATTTGAAAAAGGCGGCAGCCTAGTAAATTTACGCTCTATTGAGCTTTTTTGGGGGGAATATATTTAACATCGAAAAGATTTCTCATTCATAATGTAACTTTCAAACTCTTAAAAAAAATTCCTATGCACCTTTTTCTTACATCATATATAAAGGTATTTTTACCTTCCCTGAAACCATTTATTAACATTATTCTAATTGATATATATATCTTGATATATATATACGCAAAAGTTCGAAGATTAAACCTTACTGTTTAAATTCATGGGAGAAGCGCTCAACACGTATGGGTCACACAGCTCGTGGGGAATGGGGGGTAACAGAGTCTGAGTCAAAAAAAAAAAAAGGGGGACCCATCACCCCGTCACCAGCATTATAGCTCCCCTCTCTTACTCCTCCCCTCTCCTACATATAATTTTTTAGGGAAATTTGGCATAATTGATTCTTCCTCACAAGACGTTGGATGTTATCTCCACTAAGGATATACTTCAAGACTTTGATGCATCAACTAGCTTTATCTAGTACGACTCTGAAGTGCTTGTTACACTGTGCTAATATCTTAACAATGCTAGTTAAGGGAGACTAGCACCATGCCATACTAGCCATCATATATATATATATATATATATATATATATATATATATATATATATATATATATATATATATATATATATATATATATATATATATATATATATATATATATTGCGACTCAGTGATAGTTTAATTTTGTTCATATAACCAAACCGAAAATTCGCCATTTTATGAGTAAAAATTATGCATTGCTTGGAGTAAGTTGCAGTATCTTAATGACGTGTTGCAGGGATGATAATGCAAGGTGCAAGGCAGTTTTTAAGTACTGTAGCTTTTGTTTACAAAATCACTGAAAAAAGACAGGTTGCTGAACAAGCTGTCATTGAGACGACATTTCGTTCTGTGGAGACCATCATCCAGTCATGTTTCGCTCTGTGAAGTCATGTTTCACTCTATGGAGAGCTTTATCAAGTTACGATAGAGCTCTACACAGAGCCAAACATCGTCCTAATACGAGCCTGTCCTGCAAAGAGACCTCTATCTTGACCATAGTTGGCAGTCAGGCATCTGGATCGAAAATCGCTTAGGACATCTCCCCCCCCCCTTTCAAAACAATATTGTTTTATATTGTTAGTGTTATATAATTATATTCGCACATGAGGTGTGCTCAATGCAAAGAAAATAAAATGAATATTTTTATCAGTAAGAATTTAAAAAAAAATAAATAACATCGTAGGCTGTAGCCAATGAGGGTCGTTGCTTCTGCCACTGTCAGTGTTCATGTCCTTTTGTTGTCGTGTTTTCAACAATAGACCTGAAGGTAATGCTGTAAAAAGATTATTATTTAATATGTGCACAAAAGCACTACCATATTTTTTTGGGTTTTCACCTGGAAATCATATTTTTTTTTACTCGAAATTTGGGGAATGGTTAAGGTGCATTTTCTCAGTGGTAGGAACTAGGACCCATATTGGCATGGTCAATATTTTCTTTAGGCGTGTGAAAAAAAAATAAAAATTATACAGATACAGAGTTTTATTTGACCTGTGATTAGGATTTTTTTTTTTTAATTCTGTGAATTGCTGTGATAATGGGAAACTCATAGCGTATACAGAGACTGGGAATGGGGGGAGGTAATCAGGGTTTGATAGGAGGAATGAGAATTTAGCTCGGGTTCCCTAGATCAAGAGCCCTTCATCAGCTGGTGAAGGAGTCTTGATAACAATGCCATGTGATCATTGTAATAACTGAATTAAAAATACTCAGAAAACGTCACATATATTGCCGACGAAAGACTGTGTAGTTGAAAAAAGAATCTTCGAAGTGTCGGAGCATTTGACTCATGAATGGAATGGACATGGGTTCAATTTCCGGGTGAGGTAAGACGTATTGTTAAGTCTCCTCATACCTGCCCATATTTGTCTAGAAATAAATGTGCTTCACTTTCATGAATTATCCTGGTCTAATAACATGAAATCTTCTTCTTTGTTCTTCAAGAATAAGATGGGTAAGAAGGCAGTGATATCTTGGAAATATATGAATGAAAAAATGCATGAAAGGGGTGAAATAAGAATGAAGACCAGTCACAAGTGTCCTTCCCTGGTTGTTCATAATCTATATAAATGACCTTACCTGGAGCTTACCTGGAGAGGGTTTCGGGGGTCAACGACCCCGCGGCTCGGTCTGAGACCAGGTTGAGGGACAAAAGACACGAATAAATTCGCTAATGATAAAAAATAGACCAACGAATAAATTCAGAAGATACCACTGAACTTGACAATGAATTATACAAGCTGATGTTACCGTTAAAAAAGTGACATTTGAAGACCATTGTGGAAAAGTGCAAAGTTCTTATACCCTGGGGGGCGAAAATGGCCTTAGCAGTTATTAAATGCAATAGAAATTGGTCATAAAGAACTTGATAAGTGCTTGTATGTTATGGTCAGCATAAATCTGAAGCCAAGACAGCAGTGCCTAAACGTCCGTAATTACACTAACTGGCTGCTGTTCATTCCTCGCCCAGCTGCCGGTGAGGGTGGACGTTTTTGCTACTCCTCTCTGACAGGCGCAAGTGCTAGCCAGGCTGTCACAATGGTGGTTGGGGTGAGACGCAGAATTAACACTGTCGGCATAGAATTACTGAGAGGTACAATTAATCAAGATTCGGCGTTGACGTTGTTGCCTCTGATTATTCGAGAGACATATGGAATCGAGGATTGCGACCTTTACGGTGTAGCCTTAAAGGGAAACTACCGAATGTTCGTGAAACTGCTGTCATCACACGTGTATGAGGATCTACTTGCTCAATATCAGGATGTTGCTATCGAGGTTAACGAGGGCATCCTGGTAAAGATGGTCGATGTTTCGAGTCAATTTACGTATGTAAAGTTACGTAATGTGCCTTTCGAGGCAAATGAAGCTGACCTACGTAGTGTGTTCGGGAAGTTTGGAACTGTACACGTAGCTCAACCAGGCAAGTGGACGGCAGGGGCTTATGTGGGTTATCCGGAAGGTAGTTTTAACCTAAAGATGACTCTGAGGCAATCCTATACCTTCGTATGTGTTCTTAGATGAATTTAGGACACAAATACTCGTAACTTACGCTGGCCAACGTAGAACTTGTAGACTGTGTGATGGTTATGATCACATAGCGGCTGAATGTGTGCGGCGGAGGACTGGCCAGGGAATACCAAGAAGTGACATTACGAGGCGAGGACCTACAGTGACAGATCAGAACCCAGGATGGACGTAGGCGTGGTCGGTTTGTGGAGTGAGGAAGTGGAGGAAATGCAACGTGAGGTGGAGCATGAGGGTGCAGTGCAGCAATTGAGTGCGTCTGATGAGGATGTGATTCACGAGGCGGACAAGGACGTACCAAATGACGTTGAAATTGACGTAGTGCTTGAGACAGTTTTGCAGGAGATGTTCCCTAAATCGGAGGAAGCCTTGACAGAGGTAACGACGGGAGACCAGGTACAGGGACAAGGGGAAGCATGCGGGTCTGAAGAAAGGAATGTAATGTCGGCTTGGCCAAGTAGTGAGAAGGGGAATGAGGTGATAGAGGTGGAGGTGCACAATGAGGAAGGTCAGGAGACTAGCATGGCGGAAGAGGAAGTGTCGAGGAAGCGGGCAGCTGTCACTTCTGACTCGGATGACGTCCTCACCTCCAGCACAAAGACCAGGGAAAAAGGCGGGATTGAAGGTGTGTGTAGAGGCACAGAGAAAAAGAAACGCCAGCAAGGGGTTAGGAGTGGAGGGATGGGGTGAGTGCCAAGGACGGTGTGTATGAGGTTACTGGACAGCGGAAAAATGTGGTGGGAAAAGTGGGTGGAAAACGTAAGCAGGCCTAAGGTGTATGACAATTAATGTTAATGGTTTATGTAAGAGTGGTAAGTGTGTATGGTTGCGAGGACTGCTGTATCGTTATAAGGTAGATGTTGTCTTTATACAAGAGCATAACTTGAAAAATAGGAAAATTGCTGGAGTGGATGGATATAGGGCTTTTGTAACTCCAACGACACGTTTAAAAGGTGGAGTAGGTGTTTTAATTCGAGAGGCAAGCCCGTTTGTTTTGCAAAGGTTTGAGGGGGGGGTGAGGGAAGAATAATGAGAGTGGACGGGTGGTGGATGCGTGAACGCGTGTCCTTTGTTGGAGTGTATGCTCCGGCGGAGAATGATGCGAGGGTAAAATCGGCTTTTGTAAGGGATGATCTGGTGTATTTCTTGAGAGCACTGCCCAGGGTTGCATTGATTGGGGGAGATTGGAATTGTATAATACGGAGATTTGATGCGATGCCAGCGGGGGCAGGATATTTTTCAAACGTGTTGCGAGACCTGTGTAGAGATATTGGGGTACGAGATGCATTTTGGGGTGGAATAGGTGAAGTGCAACATACGTACGTAAGGAGGGAATACGCAGCTAGACTGGATAGGATCTATATAACGCAAGGGGTTTCAGTGGAGTCTTTTAACACTATAGAAGCAATTTATTCAGATCACAGGGCAGTGGTGGTGGGGGTAGCATGGGACTCGTTAGTGAAACGGTTTGAAAGCTACTGGAAATTAAACACGCGACTCCTTGAGGATGAGGAAGTGGAGGAGGGGTTTGCTTCGC